CAAGTCGTTAATTATGACATTTAAGTTTTTAACTCGTACATGTTATTTTACAATGCACTCGTACCTGTCATTAATAATTTACAAGTACAACGTGCAAGTACTTTACAAAAATTTACAAAATTATAGTTAAAAATTTTAAGGAGATTAATATTTTGTTTATAGATTTCGGCCATTTTTCCAAATTCGGCTAGGTCAAAATTGAGCCAGATTTCCGATTTGAGCGGGATTTTTTTGTCATCCAAATTTTAATATACGCGCATGTATGTCTGCATTTGCGCGTTGTACATTTGCTTGTCTACATGTAAACATGTATGTTAGTATGTGTTGTTTAATGAAAGTATTGCACATGTGTGAAATGATTTGAAATGTAAAGAAATATGATAGTATCATCGCTTGGATCACCTGATTGATCTAACTATCCTGATTATATCTTAATTACTTTTGAATGGCCACACTAACACCAAGCAGGGAGGTCCTTTTGGAGGACGACTCATTTTATTCCAATGAAGATTGTAGTTTATTTCCTTGTCAAATCAGAAATATGAATAAGCCATGATTATTTAAAACTAACTCAACGGAACGTTCAATAATTTTAGAAACGAAAGACAAATTTTACACCGGCCTATAGTTTATCAGGTCTGATTTATCTAATCCTGTCTTCTTTAGAATTGGCGTGACAATTGCATGCTTGCAAACCTGTGGCATTACACCCTTCGTTAAGCACATGTTGATTAAGTCCGTTAAGTAAACAATAAAACAGTCAGCATATTCTTTGAATACATGCGTCGGTATTGGGTCGAGTGAGCATGACTTCGTAGGTGACGAATTAACAACTTTAGATATCTGTTCTTCAGTCAGCACTGGAAACGATTCGAGTGAAAACATAATATTAGTATAGTAGAAATAAAAACATTCAGTTGACTTTTCGGTCACTTTCAACTTGTCAGCAAAAAATTTTTTAAAATCATCGGCGCTATGCATTGAACCAACTTCCTTTTCAACACTAGTCTCTTTTCCTAATAATTTATTAATCGTTTGCCATAAGTATTTGGAATTATTTTTAAATTGACATGTTTTCGCGAACCAAAAACTCCTTCGTTTCACTGAGTAACAAACATTCTTTTGTTTCATTGCTAGTACCCAATCAACTTTATCATTATAACAACCAGTAGTTCTGAATATTATCTAATATATTTTCTAACAAAAAACCATCCGATGTGACAATCAAATCCAGGGTACCACCAAGCACATGGGTAGACTGATTAATTCTATTGACAAGATCAAAACTAGAGAAAATATCAGCAAGAACTGTTGCATATATATCTGACGAAGTTTCTACGTGTATGTGGAAGTCACTTGCAACTACAATACTGCAACATTAAAGTGTGATTTGTTCTAAAACTAAAATTAATTCTTCAAAAAATAATTTAGCAGGAGGAGCAGAACCTGGCCTATAAATCACCAAAAAAATTACTGAAGTTTTCCGTAACGTCAATTTAAAACATATCGCTTCAAATTTAATTATCACTGTCAATGGAATTTTTACACATTTAAAGTGGTTTCTGAAATACGTTACCAAACCACCATGCCCAGGATCATTTAGCCTAACTTGTTCCAAAAAACTAAAATCACGTGGTTTTGCCAAGCTAAGACAAATATTATCAGATGATTTATGCCAAGTTTCTGTAAGCATCAAAACATCCAAGCTATCATTGAGCAGCCCATGTACATCATCAACATTTGGACCCAAAGATCTAATGTTTAACAGACCAACCTTAATTTTATTGACATTACCAGAAGAGTTGAAAACCATGGACGCACAATCAGAGCTAGTATGCTTTAGTTTTTTATTGAATATTTCTGTATTTTTATTCTCAAATTTGACGAATGATGATTCATTCGGAATCGAAATATGGCCTTATTTGCAGCATGAATTCGAAAAATAAGTTTATTTTGAATTTTAATAAACTAAACGTTCACCAAAAAACTTTAGTGAGAAAAATCGAAAAAACGAACTACAAACATATTAACGCCGAACATTCGGTAGAATTTATAGAATATTGTAAAAATTATGGTCTATTATCAATATATATATATATATATATATATATATATATATATATATATATATATATATATATATATATATATATATGTTTTGGTTTAGTTTTAAACTATTGTTTTCCATCCACTTATTGACCCCAGACAAACATTTAACCAATTTGACCAATTATGATTTAAAAGAATCTGGTCTGCTTGTAACAATAATTTGTAAGTCGTCCGCAAAAGCATTACCTGAAAAACCAAATGATTCAATTATTTTTAGTAGTTCAGAAGTATAGATCAGAAATAGAATAGGCCCTAAAACCCAACCTAAACAATCACAGTGAAGGCACTAAACGCAAATTCAATGATCACAATGCTGGCCAGTTTATGACTTTCTTTAATGAAAAAATTAAAGAGATAAAACAGGAGATTGACACTGAGAATCAATCTTATCTTAACAGTGATGGTCATGGATGTCAGCAGTTGTTTTCGACATTTCGGGTGGTGTCTGAAGCTGATGTTAGGAAAGAAGTGCTTCATTCACCTACAAAGTCTTGTCAACTAGATATTTTACCAACGCATTTAAAAAAAAAACATTTTGAATTGTTTTGTTCATTTATATCCAGTTTGATAAATCTGTGCATGAGTGTAGGTTGCTTCCCTAGACCTTGTAAACATGCAATTGTTGTGCCGTTGTTGAAAAAAAGTGATGCAGATCCAGGTGACGTCAGTAATTATCGACCAGTCAGTAATCTGCCATTTATATCAAAACTCATTGAAAGAATGGTGTCGAGACAATTGCTTGCTCATTTGAATGATAATAATCTCATGCCTGCACATCAATCCGGTTTTAGACGATTTCACTCCACTGAAACTGCCCTGCTACATGTTCTCTCGGGGGTTTATGCTGAGATGGATGTTTAAAACATTTCCTTGTTGGCATTTTTGGACATGAGCTTGGCTTTCGACTGTGTCAATCATGAAATGTTACTGCTCAGGCTGCATCAAAATTTTGGAATATCTGGGAAAATAATAAATTGACTCAGAAGCTACTTGATTGGCCGAAAACAGCAGGTTTCGCTCAACGGGAGTTTGTCCTACGTCAGTGTGGTTCGCTCTGGTGTGCCGCAGGGATCTGTTTTGGGCCCTTTATTGTTTCTGCTTTATACATCTGATGTGCTGAAGATAATTCATTCCTATGATTTTAAAAGCCATGCATATGCAGACGACATTCAAATTATGTTATCAGGTAAACCGAAGTTATTTCAAGACGAGATTACGAGATTCATTGAATGTATGTCGTAGGTTAATCTGTGGATGTCGAGAAATGAATTGAAGCTTAACCAGGGTAAAACAAAATTTTTTCCTATTAGTACCTGCCAGCAGTTGGCAGACTTGGATATAAATTCAGTTGTTATGAATGATAAAAAAATAGATTTCTGGAAAGCAGTGTCGAATCTAGGTTTTATAATTGATTCAAACCTAACAATGAAATCTCATTTTAAAATGCTTGGCACAGATTAGAAGAATGAAACAAATTCGAGAATCACTTGATAAAGACGCAATGCAGACTCTGGCGCATGAGTTGGTGCACTCACGTGTCGATTATTGCAATAGTTTATTTTATGGACTCCCGGCTAGATCCATCAAAATTCTGCAATCGATACAAAACCGCACTGCCTGGATTGTGGCTGGATGTCGATGGTATGATCATGCCACACCGATCCTGAGGGATTTGCATTGGTTGCCCATAAATAAAAGAATTGTTTTTAAAATCTCTGTCACAGTTTTCAAATCATTAAATGGTCTGGCTCCAAAATATTTATCAGATAAACTGAAATTAAAAACGTCGATCACATCTGGTGTGCGTCTGAGGTCTGACGATTCGGACATTCTTGTGGTTCCTCATGCATGGACAGCTAAAGATTGGATCGCGTGATTTTGCTGTGTCACATTTCTTACATTTGAACGTGCTTTCCACACACACACACACACACACACACACACACACACACACATATATATATATATATATATACATACACACACACACACATATATATATATATATATATATATATATATATATATGTGTGTGTGTGTGTGTGTGTGTGTGTGTGTGTGTGTGTGTGTGTGTGTGTGTGTGTGTGTGTGTGTGTGTGTGTGTGTGGAAGGCACGTTCAAATGTATCAAATGTAAGAAATGTGTTCATGGTGTGATTAATAGGACGGACTCAAGGACGGGG